AGGAGGAGGGTGGTGGGGCCTGGCCTGGCTAGGGCTGGCGGGCCAGGACCGGCTCCCCGGGGGGGGGGGCGGGGCGGGCCTGGCGCGGGCCTGGAGCTTGCGAGGGCAGGAGGGTGGCGGAGGTGTGCCTGGTGAGCGTTGTCAGCAGGCTGGCCCCCGGAAGACACGCTCTCGGCCTGCTTCTAGCAGCTTCCCGGGGAAGCCGGGGTGCCTTCAGCCACTCCCCGCTTCACAGCGCTGGGGGCTGTCTGGGCCTGGGCTGAAACCCACACAGGCCTTCCAGGAGAAGAAAGGCAGGCCAGTATTTTGTCCTGTTTGGTGCCCGAGCTTCTTTCGTACTGCCTCTAAGTGCAAACGAAGTTTTGAAGAGTCGGCAGTCTAAACGGTGTCACTGTGAAAAGCGGGAGCGGCATCTAGACTCTAAAAAAGATTTATTTGCAAGCTACAAGCTTGCATATAAAAGCAGAAATTAGCCTAGCTGTGTCTGCTGTAGGCCAAGGAAATAAAAGTAGGGGGAGGGGAGGGCTGGTGCATGCTTGTGCAAGTGCTGTTATAAACCTGGATAGATTGCTTGCATGCAACAGAAACTTGGAGAGTTTGGGTCCAGCAGCACAATATGTATATGGCTATTTTGTGTGAAAAATCAGCATCCCACTTCAAAAGCTCTGGAAACAACTGATTCAAAAAGCTGGTTGCTCCCCACTCCCGCAATGATTGCACATTGCAGGAGGGTACTAGAGCTTGGGGCTATGTTGGTGGTGGGCATAGATGCAGGCAAAGGCTTTTGCAGAGCTAGGATCAACGATTAAGTGAGCTGTGAATTTTTAGTGTAGTAGTAGCTGGACTTAATGTACCATTGAAATAGAAATTTTCAGCAGTTGGATCTGAAGTGGTCTTAAGTTTTACCCTCATCCACCCACCGATTACTACATGCTCACAAGTAGCACTTTTCAGTACTATTAAGTCCTGCTTTTTAAGAGTATGAAATTGTTAGCACGGTAAGTGAGAACAGGCAGCCATTTTCACACTCGAGTTATTTCAGAAATGGAGGAACAGGGATGCATGAAACAGAAGTTTTAATCATCAGAACGGCTACAAAATACTGACATCTTGGCATTTCCATCCACAAAAGGGCAGCCTGCTGAGCAGATAGGCTGAAGTTTGTGGTGATTCCTAGTTCTTAAGATAAAACATACCTCACCTCTTATTTTACTGACTCCTAAAGCAAACAGGAGCTGCTTTGCAGACCATCCTTCCCGAGCGAATGAGTATTTCTCTTAAGTTTCTCTTATGTTCCACCAGTATGATGAAGAAAGTAAGCATGACATCTTGGGGCACTATTGAGCAGTTAGCATGACGTTAGCGCCAGGTAAAATCCTCAAAACCAGAAACAATTAAAGGATGGTTTTATGGCATGTCAGTTGACAGAGAAAATTGATATTGGGGGGGGGGGTTGCTAATAGAAGGAACTGCACAGAGGTAGTGCATTTTATTTTTCATCAGTGTTAATGCAATAGTAAGTTAAATGGCTGTCTAGCATTTCTATAGCACCAAGAAGGTGCTATATTTGGCACTTATTGCCAAATAAGAAGCTTTTAACACAGATCTTTACTGACTCCATAAATTCCTAGTGAGTTTCTACAGGAAATGATTCTACACCAGGAGCTATTCAACGTTTTTATGTGTGTTCTGAAAATACACATAAGATAGTGCTGATAAAACCTGCACCAACACAAATATTAGTGGAGT